GGTATAACTTTGTTATTGATTTTTAGTTCAATATATTGAGGGAGTTTAAAATGCAAGGGTAACTAAACTCCTAAAATATTGTTTTGAAAAATTAGTGATAAAGTTATATCCATAGAAAAAGTTTTTTATTTATTTATAAAATCTTTATATGTCATTTAAAGTTTGTAATAATTAATATTTTTTCATTTTTTTGATAACATCAATCATAATAACAAGACAAGAAAAAAAATCAAAATTAAAATATCATAAGTGGCACTAAAATATAATAAAATTTAACATGTACTATTTTTTAGCTAATATTGTTTTGATTTGTTTTTTATTTAAAATGAAAAAATTAAAATGCTGAATAAAGTCAACCTCATTATTTTTTTTATATACACAAAAGTAATATAATAAAATTTTTCTTACTAAATCTACTTGCTAAATTTTCTAAAAATCAAAATGTATGAAAAATTAGTTCATAAATTAGTTTGCAGTTGCATAAACTTCAAAAAAAACTGTATATTTATGTATTTTTATATATATGTATATATATAATATATATATATATATATATATATATATATATATATATATATATATATATATATATATATATATATATATATATATATATATATATATGTATATATATAATATATATATATGTATTATATATGTATATATATAATATATATATATATGTATATATATATTATATATATATATGTATATATATAATATATATATATATGTATTATATATGTATATATATATTAAATTTATATATATATATATATATATATATATATATATATATATATATATGATATATATATATATATATATATATATATATATATATATATATATATATATATATATATATATATATATATATATATATATAAAAGACAGGCCTTGTTTTAAAGCATAAAGTGGTCACGCCCTATGGGGTGCTGCTGTAAGTTTTTTTTAGCGGTCTTCATGACTTTATAAAATACCTTTTATCATTTAAAACCTAGGGTGCTTAACATTTTCTGTCATTGACTTTAGGGATTGTCCATAACTTTAAATTTAACTAGTAGACAAAACAAAAAAGATCAAATTTTTTCCTCTTTAACTACAAGAGTCTTTAACTACACTAAAATTTAAAATAATGCTTTGAGTTCAATGAAATGATTTTGCAGCGCAAAAGAGCAATTGATCTCTGAAAGCATCAAAGAATATTGTAATTTAATTTTCAAGAACGTAATTTGAATGTAATTTAGAGCCTATATAATAGTTGAAACAAATGATAGTTTCACAATTACAATAGGTATATCGCATAAAAGTAACTCTTGCAGATTCTTATCTTATGACCTGTCCAACTTGGCCGGAACGGCTGGCTGTAAGTGAGAGAAGTTGCATCATCAATAAGAATCCGATACCTTTTTTGAAAAACAATAAAGATTATTCTAAAACCAAAAACGCTATTCTCAAATAAATTTTGATACAGGGTAGCAAGAAATAATAAATAAGTATAAGGAGATTCTCCAAAAACTGGTTCAGCTTGTTGTCTTACTTTTTATCAGTTTGACTTAACTCCAAAATCTTATTTTGGGAGAAGTAGGACAACTAAAAGTTTACAAAACAATCCTAAAAGAGACATTTTAGTTTTTTTGAGAAATGAATCAAAGCAAAAATCAGGATAAAAAATGAACAAGCTGTCAATTAAGGTCTGATCCAACAAATTAACAATCAAATGGAGAAGCATTGTCAGTGATTATGTACTTGGCAGACATAATATTGCATTCCGTGAATGATGGGTACTTCCTTAGTCTTATCAAATTACTTGGTAAATTTTGATTCAATTTTGATGGAGCATTTATGCGAATTGAAAATGGAGAAAGACGTTCACAAATGTTAAGTGTTAATATTCAAAATGAGGTCATTAACCTCTTAGCTTTGCATGTAAAAGAAGCTATTTTGAACAAGGTAAAATGTAGAAAGTATTATTAAGTTATTATGGATTGCACTCCAGACCTTAGTCATAAGGCCAAACTCTAACCATCCACAATTTGAATCATCTTTATAAGAACTATAATTGAATCATCTTTATAAGAGTCAATGTGAGGATTTCTATTTGTAAACATGTTATAACACTGCATCAAAAATATTTATATAATAAGTGTATGTTTAAATTTTTTGTCGTAAGGCAAGTGAAACTGCAATTTACCTGACAAAACTACCACCAAAGGGCAAATTTAAAAAGGATTATGAAATGTTATAAGAACACCTGACTGTGAAAAATATTTCAGACATAAATGAGGAAAAACTTTACAAATATAATTCTACATGTCAGTTTGATAGCTACTGATTTTGACAAATGGTGTGGCAGTGGCCAGCAGTGAGTGTAATTTCAGGAAGTTCAAGTTAATTAAAACCTAACCTTAATAAAGATAAGAATATGCTCACTTGAGCATATTATTATCTTAATAAAACTTTTTTTTTTATCTGTAATACACACCCCGTACTTCACACAGCTTTCCTATTTCCCATTTCTACCTCTAACATTTTCTCTGGGAAACTCTCTGCATGCTTATATTCAATCTTCTGCATCTTCTTTCTTCGTTCTTCTGCATCTTCACACTCTAACTGTTTAAACAATTTTATTAATCTTTAATACAGTGATTTAAAAAAATATACGATTTACTATCAAATATATTTATTATTTCTAATTTTTATTTATAATCTTTTTTTCTTATCTTTTAGAATCACACCACACACTGCCTATAATCAACATTTTACGAACATTTTGTATGCTACCACATCTCTTGTTATTCTTGCCTCTCCAATGGAGGGTGGATAGGATCTTTATAAAGGGGAGATTCTGAAAAATTTTTTAAAATCATTCCAAAATCAGAAAAAAAATAAAAAATAAACGCCACATACCAACATGTTTATTTACCAAGTGAGAGTATATTGTGATTTATCAGTGATTTACGAGCACAACTAGTTGTTAGTGTTTGCCAAAATGGTTTATAAATGAAAATGGAAATATACATAAATTAATATATTTTTTTTGGCTGTATTTACAGTTTCTTTATTTATTTTTTTATTCGTTTATCTGAAGTTGATTTCATAGTCTACATCTAAATATATATAACTAATAGTATTATTTTTCGTTTTTAGTATTACTTAAAAATGCTCTATAAATTTAAATTTTAAAAATCCTTGATAGTAAATTTTAATTTTTTTTTTGGAAGTAAAATTCAAAATTTTATTTCTGCAATGTCACTTGTGGCAAGCATGTTTAGAGTGACTGGCACATCTCATGTGTTTTGGTAAATAATTGTACTTTGTTTTTATTGTGTCTCCACTTCATACGTATCTCCTTTTTTTAAATCTAAAACAATTTCTGCATTTAAAGTGTAGTCTTTAAATTTTAAAGATAAAAATATATTAATGTTGTGTATTACTAAGTAAATAAATATTTTTAAGTAATAAATATTGTAAATATGTTGTTGCTTTTATTTATTTTATAGAGATTGCCAAATTTACATGGAGCATTAAAACATAGGAATGACTTTAAAAATGTTTCTGTTACTTTAAAGCATCAAAAGAACAATGGGTGTATAACATTCAAAAGTATTCAAGTCAGCTCTTTGGTATGGCTTCTTGTTTTGATTTTTTATTTAGTATTGTTTAATTTGTGATTTTATTTTTTATTTTTATTTCCAAAGAATGGTAAAGATAATGTTGAATGTGTTATTTTGTGTTTGGAATGGCCAATTGATGGTGTCCCTGTTAAAAATGAGGCAATTATGTTAATTAATGAAATGGAAAAACAGCAATCGAAACATGGAGAAAATCCAATTCTTGTCTTTTGCAGGTATTCATTTTATGTAAACAACAGAAAAACTTAAGGTATTTACTTCACAAATTAATAATAGATATATAATTTTTTAAATGTTTTAATTGTATTTTTAAATAATAATTCTTTATGTTTTAAAAACAATATGAAAGTTTTTTTAAATAAATATAAGTAAAATAAAATGTTTATATTATTTATATTTATTTAAAAAAGTAGTATATTTTTAAGAAATATTTTATTTAAAAAAAACATAATAATAAACAATATAAAAAATGATTATAAAATAAAATTCAAGTTAATCAATTAGGACTGTATTGTGATGTTATATATTATTGTGAAGTTATAATAATGTATAAATAAAAAATGGTCCTTAACTTGAAAAATCAGAAAATATAAAAATAACAAAAAACAATGAACTGCTGTTTTTTAGAGGTTTTCAGTTGAAATTATTTTAACTTCAGCTTTACTTTAAATATACCTTAAGTCACTCTTTTCCGTCGGTTAACATGGTATAGAAACCACTGAAAGTAAATTAAAAACTGCATCTTTTTATTTACTTTTTTTAATAAGCACACTCTATATCAGTCAGTGACTTATAATATATTTATAATACAATATATTTGTCTAATTGTTTTTAAAATGTTTTCACTGATGTAAATAGCACAATAGATGGAGGAAGACGATTCCATACAGTGGCTATTCTATTAAGGATAAAACTCTCTCCTAATGGACAACATTCTTTATTAGTTCTTTTTTGAATCGAATAGGATGTCTTCTCTATGCAGATTAACTAATCTCTATATTTAATTAACTCATCAGGTTTTACTATTATTTTTGACGTAGATATACACCATTTAACTTGTATGAAATCGTGGACAACTTTGAAACACTCTATTAAATCTCCTCCTAAGCTTCAAGTTTCTAGCGTTGTAATATTAAACCTTTTTAATCATGATTCATAACTTAGATGTGAGAGTCTTCTTGTTTTGCTCTTTTTTGAACTTTTTCAAGAGCTGTTTTATTGTATTTCTTTGATAGATTCCAGATTGGTGCTGCATATTCAAGAAGCGGTCGAACAACTTTATACAATATTTCAGCAATTGAGGTTAAAGACCGGCGAAGTCAATTTTTTAAAACTCGAATTTTAATGAAAGACAAATTTAGATCATATGCGTATACCAAGTTTAACTGAAAGACAAATTTAAGCCATATATGTAGCCTAAATATAACTGAAACACAAATTTGGACTTTTAAACCAAGTTTAACTGAAAGCGGAATTTGGATTAAAACACATTTAATTAAAAGAGAAATTCTTTAAGAACTTTTATAAGTTTAATAAAAAAAAAATTTTTTTATTTTTTTTTTGTTTCAGGTGTTCCAAGAAGACCTCACGGTTTTTCCATGAAGTACATCAGAAAAGTATTGAACTAAGAAGTTCAAACCTCCTTCCTTACCGATGGTGCGAAATATGCTCAGAGCTTGCTTTGAATCCTAGGTCTCTTTCTTCTAAAGCCTGCATCGCGGTTGCTGTATAATTATTTTTTATAAATTAAAATTATTATTTTTTAGCTTGTAATTAAGCATTATTCAAAACATGACAAAACATTACGCTTCCTTCATCTTGCTTTCCTGATTCATATAATTTGCAATCTTTTAAGTCGTCTGTCAATCGTCATCTTGCTCTACAATCTTCATCTTTTCTCTTACAATAACTTCCAACTCTAATTAGTGGTTGCTTGCAGCCTTGTTGGAAGCGAAGATGTTTAAAAAAAAAATATATATATATATATCATATATATTATTTTATAATGTTTTTTACATTTATCATATCATAATGTTTCTTAACTAACAGGAACAAAAAAATATTTACAACGTTTATTGAAAAATTTTATAAAGAAAAAAGATCGTTAAGAGCATTAGGTTAAATATTCACCTGATAAGAAAAATTTATTGTTAAACATGTTTTTTTTTTTTTTTTACTGAATTCACGAGCAGCTGTGGCATATTGATTAGAATTCTGGCTTAGAACCCAGAGGTCCAAGGTTCGATGCCAGCTCTAGCCCAACAAGCAACCTTGGTACCGAAGGAGGCATGAACTTCCTGTTAAATGCTCTCTCGCGGTGCTCTGTGGTAATACCGTTAGGACTTCTGAAAGCACCTAAATAACTACAAAAAAAAAAATGTTACTAAGACCAAGTGGGTTACTTTAGTCAAGGAAGCTACTTATTATATTGGTTACAATTCTTTCTCAACTCTTTAATTCCAAAACACTTTTCGGAGTCAAAGAGTTACAAGAGGGTTGTTACCAATAGAAACAGGTTGATATACATAAAACCTATAATATATTTTATAATTCTTCTTCTTTACTAATTGAAAACAACTTTATAGCTTTCAAATTTAACTGAAAGTTAAATGAAATTTTGAAATTGTTGTTGAATTTAACTAAAAACTGAGTTTCTATTTTAACTTTGGCACCAAAGTCAAAGCCAAAATCAACTTCGCCTTTCAGAAAACTTCGTAATCCGAATTTTAAGGAATATTTGCTGGTCCTTAATTGAGGTGGTATAGAATTCAAATTTGTGTTTAATTAAACCTAGCATTCTGTTAGCTCTGTTAGTACATTAATTGATATGTTGGCTGTATTTTCCATCAGTAGATGTCATAACGCCTAGATCTTTTTCTGAATCGAAGCCTTTAATTCAAATTCATATTTTTTGATCCTAGTCAAAGGTAGCATAGTCTTTTGATTATACTTACCAAAATGCATTATTTTATATTTACTTAAATTAAGTTTTATCTTCCATTCCTGACATCATTTAGCTATTTTATCTATATCATTTTGTAATTCGTTTCTTAGTATTTCAATTTCTTCCAACTTAGCAAGAGTTTTACTATCGTCAGCGTATATTTTTAATATGTGGAAAAGATTACAAGGTCATTTATGAATATTGTGAATAAAACCAGTCCAAGTACTGATCCTGATCCACTACTGATTGGACTCTAGTCGGACTGGTTTTCACCAAGTACAACTCATTCCCGCCTTAAAAAACATAAGAGTCAGGGTCCCTTAAGCGCATGCCCTTAATGGACCCTGACGAAAATGTCCATGTGGAATTTCAGGGTCGTTTAAGAGCTAGCCCTTAAAAGCAGGCAGGAGCTTTAAAGCTGATTTAACAGCAGTATCCTGAGGTATGCTGTATGCTGAGTATGCTGGGTATGCTGAGCCTAAAATATCAAAATATTTTATGGATTAATAATTACTAAACAAACTGTCTAAACTGTTGCAATAAAAAAAACATTACCATTAAATCAGAACAAAAATCTACATCAAAATTTGAGTCTTCAGAAGCTGTGCAAAGTGGATGTATTTAAAAAAAAAAATTTTATGATAAATTCCTTAAGAAAACATAAAACCATGAAAACTAAACAAAAAGAGATAAAAAAAATTAAAATCATAAAAAACTAAATAAACAGAAGATATAAAGATATCTATAAACATTTTGCATTTTATATTTACATAATCTTTATCATAAAAATAAAAATTATATTTACTACTTTACAATGAAGACTAGTGGCGCACAGTCAACTTGGGAGAAAAGGATGTGTTCTCTCCCCCCACCCCAACTTAAAAAAAAAATTTAGTTTATAACTAGATTTAAAAGAAGTTTTAAAATGATACTATTGAAAATTATTGATTTTAATTTAACAACACCTTTTACAACTTTACAAGATGCATCATAGTCATTCATTTTTCAGAGGAAAGAGCATGTGACCCCCTCCAAACCTGAAAAAAATTTATTTTAAATAAGCATATTTTGAAATAATATTTTAATCAATTTGTATTTTGGCTTTTAGTTAATGATTAAGATATAAAATTCTATTAATAAAACTATATAACAATCATTATTAACGATAGATACGACGTGAATGTAAGCCAGAGCTGTCCATCAAAAAAATTGCAAGTTTCAATTCTAATGAATTTAATTCAGTAAAGTTATTTTAAACTTAATTTCAGTTAAAATCACATTAGTAATATTAAATACTATAATATATTTAAATATGAAACTCATATGACTTAGATGAGTGACATTCCAGTAAACTTTTGCTTGTAGGGCCTACTTTGCTATTGCATAACTAATAAAAATATTCATTTTAGGAAAATATTAACTCACCTAATACAACATCAGTAACCAGCTGGAATTTTTTCAGGTAATGGTCCACTGCTTTAGAATCAGTTTCATTGTTATTCCACTAAGAAATATTATTCCATAAAACCCCCTAATTCTGGATGGTTTTAGTAAAAAGTTTCATAACTTGCCTAATTTAACGAATTTATCAATTATTTTTTCTAATTAAATAGCGTCTATACCAGACAAATCGAATAATATAAAAAAGTATATATATGAAATAATGCGATCATGAAAGATTTCAATTTGAAATGTAACATAAATAAATTAACAAAAAAAAAGAAAAAAAATAACTTAAATTTGCAATGAAATAATTAAAAAGTAAAAATATTATTTTATGCAGAATTTTATGCTGATTATTTGAGTGAAAAAAATTAATTACCCTTTAAATTAATTGAAAAAATTAAAAACAAATTTGCTACCAGCAACAAAAAAAAAAGACACTTAAATCCGGATAGAGGTAATTATTATTTTATGTGTCTGAAAATACTAGCCATTTTTACAGCCATTAGATGTTGGCGTTTTTAAAACAATAAAAGGTGAATAGAAGCGAATAGTCGAAAGTTATTTGACTAAAAATCACTTTCAAAGCTTGACAAATTGACATTTTCCATTTTACTAGTATATTTCCACTCTATCATTTGGAAATTTCTTCTAAAAAAACTTCGATTGGTGCTGTGTTTCAAGCTGTTAAAAACAATAATATTGAAAGTTTACTTGATTTTTCAACAGTATCTTTTCCATTAGTTTTGGGAAATGCTACCGATGCACCTAATACACCATCAAGAATGTCAAATCATGAATTTTTACTTAAAAGCTTTGCTACTTTGA